ATTCATTGTTGAGGATGCTACATTTATGTCCATTGGCCACTGGTACATATAAATCCATTTGTGTAACCACTATAGAGTAATTTATTCTAACAATTAATATTAAGTTATTACTTTGTGAGCAATTGTTTACATACAATTTCCTGCCAAATCTAAACAATTCTTTGAGAAAATTATTATTTACTGTGTGTTTAATTTATGTTATATACATTTTGTAACTGTAAAGCTAAATTAATTGGACTTTTAACTTTTGACAGTCTGTTTTTGGATATTTTGTGTAATAAAACTAAATTATTTGACATTATACTCATATTGCATTTTTAAAAATATCAAATAGTTCACTTAAAGGTGCCATACAAGTGAAAACTGTGAAATACAAGTGACATACAAGTGAAAACTGGATGTACCTAGGCATAGCTGAATAAGTTCCGTATATGACAATAACACAGTGAGTCTCAAAAACCATCGATTTTGTTATGATTTTTTTTTTTTGTTGTTGTTGCCTATTTTCTATGCTCAGTGTTTTTCTTTGTCATGCCCATGATCTTAGCTTTCATAAGTTATCTTGAGCTGATCCGAAATCGCCCCCTATACCCTCATTCACGATTTCTTACATCAGTCCACTATAGTTCACTTGAAGGAGTGGGCTCGTGGGCTGTATACTCGTTATTGGAGTGCATTGTTTGATTGATTGAGTGCACTTCAAACAGTCAACTATGGTTTTGGACATCACTAGAAATGGCTGCTCCCTCAAATAGTGCACTATTTAAGGGTATAGGGGGATTTCTGATACAGCTAGAGGTCTCTTTCGTCTGCACCTTTTTGTCAGCCAGTTTCATGTTAGCTTGTTTGTTTCTCATTCTTTATGTGCTCTTTTGTTCAAGTTGTCAGTTAGTTTCATGGCTTTCACAATGTGTCTGTGTTCATTTTCTGCTGCTTTATTTTGAGTTTATTTTTGTTCTTTGGACTTTCCATTAAAACCCCAGAAGCAACATTTGGATCCTTACTGCCTTATTTTATAGCACCAACACACAGGCATAACAGAACTAACCGACCGTTAAAGATTCAGCTGTTTTTTTGTTTTTTTTGGGGGGTGGGGGGGGGGGGTGTAGTGGTCAAGACCCATTACCAGTGAGACTTGCACAAGAATTACCAATAAGATGTCACCCACATTGACTGATGTCCCCAAGTGGCCCATGTCACCACCTGAACCTGTGGACACTGCCGGATTAACCAATGGGTATTATGGGCACAGGTCCAGGGGCCCGTCCGCACTTAGATTTTGCCTACTATTCATCACGAGAAAGACAAGTGGGAATCATTAATAAGTGTGTGTATTATGGAGGACTCAAATTCATAGAACTGTATTGGAGAGGTGTTATAGAGTTATACATTAAAAATACCCTTAAATATAAATTTTATCACTGCTTCAGTGAACTTAAACAAGTAAATTAAAATCAATTAATTTCCCTTAGTTGTATTAATATTTTTTTTTTTCAAAGTGTGCTTTAAATGCTTTAAAATTAAGTTAAATCTTTGTAGACTAGAAATATATGTATCATTTATTTTAAAAATGTGGGCAATACATTACAAATAAATTTTATTTAACAAATATTATATTAATCTTATTTTTCAATTCAACTATGGGGTGCGGCTATAGGGGCCTAGAAGACATTGTGCCCAGTTGCCTCTGAATTATTAATCCGAGCCTGCCTGTGGATCCACTTCTGTGTCCTAAATCAGAACTTCCAGGGCTGCCTTCGTGATGTCTTGGATTTTATTGTCTTCTCTCTCCTTATATACCCCTTTGTTCAAGCCTCATGTAGCCTGTTAGTTTTGTTGCTCTCATAATATCTCTGTGTTCCTAGTTTTTCCTGCTTTGTATGATTTTTTTTTTTTCTTTGGACTTCATTAAAACCCTAGAAACTGTAAATGGATCCTCACTGCCTTATTATCTAGCACTAAAACACAGATGTAATAGATTCTTTGTTCTCATGTAAATGTGAGTGTAAAATTCCAGTAAAAAACATGCCAATAGTTTGGTTAACTCAGATTAGGCTGACTCATATTTAAGCATGGGGACATTTACATTAGTCATTTAGTACACTTTTTTCCAAAGTGCCATGGTCACACTAGAGTTTGTACTAGCGAAATTCTTTCGTACGGTGCTGCGATTAGGGGTGGGATTAAACAAGATGATTATCATTAAAAAAGCAAGCGATTGCTCCATATTTGACATTTCTGTCCAGAGAGGTCATGTTTTGATCTTCGATTGCTCTCGCGATTTAATTTTGCAGGTCAGAGTTCACTAAACTTCAACATTACAATGCAGTGACATGCAAAACTTGTGCATGAGCTTGCGTTTCTGGTTTTCCGCATTTGCATACATACGATTGGAAGTGTATGGGGTGAAAAGTGCAGTGTGACTGGGGCTTTACAAATTAGGAGGCATTCAGTGATTCAATAAGAAGAGGCAATACACACAAGAAGTGCTAATTATACAAAGAAACTGTTAATGCTCAAAGAATTAATGGCCATGGTTTCCATTAAACGGTATGATACAGGTATTTTCAAAACCATTTTTTCTACACAATTGGGTCCACAAAAAATTTTGTCACTGAAACCAACATTTTTGAAAACTTCTGTCAGGGTGAAGATTTTCAACAGCTCCAGGTTCTGTGTTTTTGGAGAAAAAGCTTACCTGTGCATGTGGACACAAGATGTGTCCCAAATCGCATACTTATACTATACTAAGCGATGTTTTAGTATAGTGAAAGTAGTGCGTTCACACTGAAAACTCAAAAAAATAAGTGCACCTTAAATACCCAGATGATGCATTTATTCAACTGTTAAAAATAAGTGTACCATGCTCACATAGCAGAAAGAGTGGAATTATAGCTCATGGTGGATAGTTTATTTATTTTGGATTGTAAAAGCAAAATTCTCCTACAAGAGTGATTATAGCGCCTTCCAATGGTGAATGCGGTTATACTCATGGCAGGTATTATTAGGTACTTTGGTCATTTATTTCACTAATTTGGCAACCGTCAAACGTCATCAGAAAAACAGTTTGAATTTCCGCTTAGTAAAAACACGTGTTCCATTTGGGCTGACAATACATACATACAGTATGCTAGTATGCAGTACACTATGCTGTTGAGTGTGAAAGTGCATAGTAAGTGTGCACTTACTAATGTTTTGATCCTCGATTGCTCTCACGCAGTCAAATGATGTGATTTCGAAGGTCAGAGTTCACCAAGCTTGAACTTTGCAATGCAGTGAACTACAAAACTTTCCACACAACCTTGCGTTTCCTGTCTGATGCATTCGCGTGCATTTGAATGGAAGTCTATGGGGTGAAAAGTCCAGTGTGACCGCAGCTTTAGATGAACTCAACAGAAATAAAACATGTTAAATCTCACAAAATCTCAGCTGATCAGGATCATTAAACAATCAACATTAGCAGTTTCGCTAATATGTGTGCTAAAATCACATTATTGTGTATTATTTATTATTATTGTTTCATCTAATTAAATCATTCCTTCATTTTCCTGACGGCTTAGCCTTTATTAATCTGGGGTCGCCACAGCAGAATGAACCGCCAACCCATCCAGCACATGTTTTTGAGCAGCAGATGCCCTTCCAGCCGCAACCCATCACTGGGAAACATGCATACACAAAAACACACACACACACTCATACACTACGGTCAATTTCAGCATACCCAATTCAACTAGCACATGTCTTTGGACTTGTGGGGAAAACCAGAGCACCCGGAGGAAACCTTGGAGGAAACCCACATGCACACAGGGAGAACATGCAAACTCCACACAGAAATGCCAACTGACCCAGCCGAGGCTCGAATTAGCGACCTTCTTGCTCTGAAGCAAACTTGCTACCCACTGCGCCACCGTGTCGCCTAATTGAATCATATTGTTATTATTAACAGTAACATGCTAAGATTCATCATTACAATAGTGATAAAAATATTTACTATGAGAAGAGGGACACATTACACTTAGACAAAAGGGGCACCCCTCACACTTTCAACTGAATAGACCTACTGATTGATACATTGTGTAATAACTGTAATGTTATATTCTATCCCCTTCCCCTACCCGTATACTAAACTCTGACAGGAAACAATCTGCATTTTTACATTTTTAAAATACTTATTTACTTTGTGTGATTTATGAGCATTCGTGATATATGCTGACATATTTTAGTCCCCACTGGGATATAAAAACATGTACACAGACACATACACACACACACTAAATTCATTGCTCGCTTTATATATGTGCTGCAGTGTACCATTATTATCACATAACAACAATAATAACAGTTGAAATGATAAACCATGTATTTTCATTTGTTAAGAGTGTAACGTTACAGGCAAACCAATCATAAATTAAAAATCTTATATTCATGATCTTCTTTCTTTGCAAGTTATATTAATAATGGTCTGCAAACTGGTGCAGTAATCCTTAGTCTCTTGAAGAAAACGAATGAATATAGGCTTGGATCCTTGCAGTTTTCTCTCAATACCGCATGCATTTTCTTTTGTAGTTATGAGCGTAATGCATGATGTAAGAACTACGAAATATTTTAGTTTGACCTTCAAGATTGCAGCCGTTGGCGTCCACATATATGCCTTGTGTATTTTCTCATTCAATGATTATTTACATTTATATTTTCTCTCAGTTAACATACTTTTGGAAAAAAAATAGCAAATAACACAAAATGAATAATTGTATTAAGCATAAGTAGCATTCTAGTTTGAGACTGCATGTTGTATTCTGTTCAGGCATTTGTTGACACTCTATGGGGTCCTTCTGATCGCCATGTGGTGTTGGATAATTCTAGAAGAGCGCAAGCGAGAGTTCATCGCACTGCTTCTACATCGCACTGGGTCTACAGGAGCAGGGTTTGATCCATTACAGAACATTTATTTGACTTTCGTCTGAGGAAAAAACCTAACCAAAGACTTTTTATCAACGTTAACTTAACAAATAAATAAGTCAAATATGTTGTCTGTGTCGAGAACGGCAAGGTTAGTGAGAAATGTGTCGTGCTCTCAGAAAACCTCCAGCGGTGTGTCAGATCTCATCAAAAAGGTAAATTCTGCAATAATATTACGAGCTGTCACATTGATTCTTAAGTAGATTTTTTCAGCTAGACATATGTTTATCAACACGACATGACCGATGTGCTGTTATTGTATTCTAGTAAAGTAGGTTTGGTAATGTGATCTGCTGAATTAGTATTTATGACATTTGGCTTAAAATAGTTACAAATTATTACAAATTTGCTTAAGACATGTACGTTCTATAAAAAGTCGAAGTTACTAAACTGTGGATAAAGGTCTATATTGTCCTATGGTTTGTTACGTTTGAAAGGCCCATGCGTTCATGCCGTTAGCTTGCTTTGTAAGAACGTTACTAAAGACAATGTTACTTAAACTCCATTTTAAGGAATGCTGCTGTACCTGAAAACATTATAATGAAATGCCAGTAGAGAATTATTTTTGGTGTTTTATAAATTTAGTAGATGTGTGGGTATGAATGACCTTGATGAAGTGACGCTGAATTATAGCAAGCATAATTATGTTTTAGCTAAGTTTAATCTGTAATTTTTAGGTAATATTAAGTCTTTTGTAAATGTGTAACTTTATTTACCAATTCACCTGGTTAGTCGTTGGTTCCAAATTAAATTGATTCATTGTCTGTGCTTTGAAATAAATGTTTAAATATGTGTGTGTGTGTGTGTGTGTGTGTGTGTGTGTGTGTGTGTGTGTGTATATATGTGTATATATATATATGTGTATATATATATATATATATATATATTCATATATATATATTCATATATATACACACACACTAAAAAAATAATCTGAAACCAGCCTAGGCTGGTTGGCTGGATTTAGCTGGTCAATCAGGTTTTAGAGGGGTTTTGGCCATTTCCAGGCTGGTTTCCAGCCATTTCCAGCCTGGTCTGGTCTTAACTAGTCAGGCTGGAAGATGACCAGCTAAAACCAGCTTGACTAGCTTAAACCATGGCCAAAAAAAAAAATCCCTCTAAAACCAGGATGGTCAACCATCTAAAACCAGCCTAGCTTGGTTTGAGCTGGATTTTTTTCAGCAGGATAATATAAATACACACACATACACACACAGTAGTTGAGGTCAGAATTATAATAATTAGCCCTCCTTTTTATGATAATTTGCACATCATTATTATCCCTCCAGAAAGTCTGTTTTGTTTCGGCTTGGATAAACGCAATTTAAAAAAATTTAAGTTGAAAATTATTAGCCCCTTTAAGCTAATTTAATTTTTTGATAGTCTACAAAACAAACCACTGTTATACAATAACTTGCCTAATTACCCTATCCTGCCAAGGTAACCTAATTAACCTAGTTAAGCTTTTAAATGTCAATTTAAGCGGTATAGAAGTGTCTCTTCTCCCAATTAAACAGAAATTAGGGAAAAATAAACTAATAATTCTGACTTCAACTATATTATTATTATTATTATTATTGTTATTATTATATATGTAGAAATATATATATTACTATCTGTTAATTTTCAGGCTTGTCTAAATGGATGGACACAGAAAACTCTCCAGACTGCAGCCAGACGTCATTATGCGTGTGTATATAATCTATCTTTAAAAAAAAAAAAAAAAAAAACAAGTCAATTGTCAATGAATGATTGTCTTATGCTTCTGGGTGCATTTTTCAGGTCAGAGGCTATCAGAGGAGCTGTCATTGGCATCGACTTGGGAACCACAAACTCCTGCGTGGCTGTGATGGATGGAAAAAATGCAAAGGTAAGCAATTGTAATCCAATGGAATAGGAAAAAATGTCTGTTTAAGGTCACCCTATACTTGTTTGAAACCTGTAAAAGTTAAAGAAATTGACATCTTGATAATCTAACCAATAGTTACCACGTAGTGTATATTTTGTCTTACTGTGTACTTGCAGTATTTGTTTACCCATCAATATTTGGCTGGCTGTAGATGAGTCCATAGAGTTTCTACTTAAAAGCTATCATCAAACAGCACGAGCATCACCATACATAAAGAATTTGCTTCTGTGTTCGCACATCCTTCTTAGTTACCTGACTAGACTGCTCTCCACTAGGGTTTGAATTAAATTTAAATATTGAAAATTAGACTAGGCTATTTTCAAAAATTGCAGGATAAATTTCACCTGAATTGGCATAGAAAATTATTCATTTCCTTTTCTTTACATAGCAAATTAACATGAAACTGTTACTTTACTGTTCCATAAAAATAATAAACCATCTTTTTATTAAACATATTAAATAATAAATAAATGAAGGGATAAAACATTTAAAACTGAACAAATAAATTTTCCATTTGAGACTTACTGACACCATCCCACCATCTACTGCTTTACTATTATAATTTTTCTTTAAAAAGTATCTTTTGTTTATATTTGTTATTAATGGCCTAAGTTTTGCTCAGTTGCCATCTGCTAAGCCCTTGTGTAAATGTGCAAGTAGCATTTGTTTCAGTGCAAGCATTGATTTGCTTCTTCAAATACATGGAATATTAAAATGTTTTGTTTTATTATTATTTATTAAGTTGGATGATCAACATCGACATGATCAGGGCATTTTTTTCAGAAGTCAATGCACAGTGTAGGAAATTATGTCGGAATAATGTGATGTAAACTATACATTTACAGACATCCCAAGTTGGGAAAAGTCATTTCCGGGGGAGACAAAGTTGATTTGCGGGAGATAGTGGGATAGTGGGTGCTTGTAGAGCGGTATCTGAGTAGGGGGGCGTGTGCGCGCGAGACATACTCGAAGAGCGGTGAGAGTTGCGGGCGCGAGACGTACCCGAAGAGCGGTGAGAGTTGCGTGCGCGACATACCTGAATAGCGGTGGGTGTGGGTTGCGCGCAACGTACCTGAAGAGCTAGGAGGGATGCGGTGCAGAGAGTGGTGTGCGGTGCAACATATTTAAGGACAGGGCAGGAGATGCGTGATTTCCGGGAGGTGATCATTCATTTGCAGGCATCCGGGAGTGTATGCATTTAAGGGGTACTCCCGCAACTTCTGGGAGACTTGGGATGTCTGCATTTAAGGTTATATAAATGACCAAATCGATTTATCGCCCAGCCCTAGAAAGTGTAGTTTTTGTGCAATGGCACAAAATGTATGCTAGATATGGCTGCGGTTTAGCTCTAACCTTGATCAAACGTATGCTAGATTCACACATCATGTCCATATCTGCCACGATTGTTATGACAACAGCAAAAATGACATTTTACCTCAACACAAAAGCTACTTGATTCAAAACGGAAAAGTTTTTTTTTATCTGTATGGATGTAATGATGGAGACTTTCAATAAGCAAGGTGAAGATAATGCCTTGAATGCACCTTTCGCCAATTTCACTTTAGAATTTCTCTTTGTGAACATTTAGCAAGATAACATCTTATTCATTACCAGGTATATGTCATTACTCTTAGTTCAGATAACTGAATGAAGTTGAGTTAACATAAGCCTTTATTAACATAGAAAGTAGCTAATGCTATATATCTGAAAAGTAATGTATGTGAATGTTAATTTGAGTAGTTTAATCATTTACGTGAGTGCTCTGAATGATCTTTATATACCACCAACTATTCTTAACTAACTGGTTTGTAAATAATGCAGTACTTGTAATATTTTTATATTTTGAATATTAATTTTTAATTACTAAATTCATTAAATTAAACGTGCTTAAGTCAAGAATACAGCATTTGTAGCTGTATTTATAAACTGCTTACTAACGTCTATTAATGTACAGGTAATGCCTAAAGTAACTATTTGCTAATGCTTAAAATATTTATAGTGTATTTATGTACATTACAGCTACTTGTCTAGTTTTGGTACTAGACAAGCATTTTCTGATAACTTAAATGTTATTTATCCCTTCTCTCAACGGTGTTGTGTAGCAGATGCAATTTTCATGTTTAAAATTGAAAACACAAATAAAAAGCTTTATAATATTGCTTTTTGTGCAGTTTATCTAGATTATAAGGAAGTTTGCGTTTTATCAGTTGAATTGCAAAAAATAAGAAGCTTTTCATGATTCTTTTTTTTGTGCCTGTAAGTTTATTGCAAAGCATTAGGGAGCTGCCATCAAATTGTAAATGTGTATAAAAATAATTTAAATGTGTGAAAAGTATGTGGAGGTGTGTCCTTTAAGTACGGAGCACACATTTATGTTCTTAAATCATGTTTGTCAGTGATGAGCTTGGTCTGTTGCACACTGTATTGTCTGTCTTCTTTTAGACAAAGTGAAAGCAGACTCCTGCTGCACTGCTCTTAATTAATTGTGCTGGAAAATTCTTACATCCATTGTAGACCTTCACTAAATAGATCTTGTTTTCAAAGATAATGTTGATGTCTACATGTTTTTTTATTTTTATTTTTTACAACTCAACAGGTTCTGGAAAATGCAGAGGGTGCAAGGACAACCCCATCAGTGGTGGCTTTTACATCTGATGGAGAGCGGCTTGTAGGAATGCCAGCCAAACGTCAAGCTGTTACCAACCCCAACAATACTCTTTATGCTACAAAACGACTGATTGGACGGCGTTTTGACGACGCTGAAGTTCAAAAAGATTTGTAAGATATTTGATTTAAACATTCATCCGTCCATACATTAATCTATACAGCTTAGGTCTTGGTGTTATAAAAATATATAAATTTTTTTTGCTACCTGGTGACAACCTCTCAGTATTAATATAGATTAAAACATGTTTTCTAATGAAAGATTAAACTGATCATAAAATCACAAGTATAAGAAATAATAAAATTTAAAATAATTAAAAATTGTTTAAACGGTAAAAAAAAAAAAAAAAAAAAAGGAAAGGAAAGGAAAAAGACCTGCATAGTGTGATCTGTCAGATGTAGCATAGTGCTTATCTGGGCAATGCATGTCTTGATTTGAATGTGCATAATATTGGAGCACATCCGATCATTTCTGAAAACTGGTTTCAGCAGCAGGTGGCAGTAGCTGGAAGCAAATTTTCCCTGCTTTGAGGGGTCTCTTGAACTTTCAGTGGAAACAAAGCCTCTAACTCTTTCAATGTTTTTGAGATGATTTTGACATGACTACTGAAACTACAATTTGACAGAATTATTCTTAAAAAAAATTTTATTATTTGAAGTCGGTGGTCACTACAAGAAATGCATAGTGATGTATTTATATTTTGTTGATTCAACTGCTGTTTTCAAACATCAATATACAGCCCTTAATGAGTCATGACATCATACACTCAGCGAGGAGCCAGCCTCAAAGTAATAAGGTTCCATGTACATATCGCATCTTTTTGCAAGCTCAAGTTTGCTATTTCAAATGGAGATGCAAGGCTTTCACATGCGTTGTGACAGACTCTTGTCACCTTAAAACATTGGTTGTTTTGGAAATGGCAGGCTTGCTTACTGCCCAGTTGATTAGTGATCCGTACGAATCACAACCCATGGTTCGGAACACACGTGACCCACGGATTAATAACTTATTTTAACTTACTTGTCTGTTAATCTAACATTTATAGCCATTGCAGAGATTGCCTCCTGCATCAAATAGCATGTATAAAAGCATTTTGGCTTCCCAGTAAGATATAATGATGATGAGAAAAGTTGTGGTGGGACCTCCCTAAATGCTTTCTTAGGTTATTAATTTAATGTTTTCTGTCACTGCTTGTTTTAACCTGCATTAATGCATTGTGTAAAGCTGCACAATTAGACATTAAAAGATCATGAGCTCAGTTTATTCTCGCGCAACATGAACAATAAATAATAATGATTGCTTTTAAATCAAATTCAAATTGCACTGCATTCAAATCTGCATCGAGAGAGATTTTTATTTTTTTTACACTTTTTCAGTTAGTTACAAACAATTAAATAACACAAGTGCTGGGAGAACAGTTTATATTTCAAATATAAACATGTTTATAGTGAGATTAAATTACTGTTTAGTGAAACATGACGCTGGTAAATTTTTTATGCTGGTGAAAGCAATTACCTTGTGTAACCAACAGATGGCAACAAACAACCATCAAAATTTTAGGTGCGTCCCAAATCGCATACTGATGCACTATTCTACGACATTTTGTAGTATAAATAGTGTAAGTAGCGCGTTCACACTAAAAACTTAAAAAATAATAAGTGCGCTTTAATTACCCGGCTGATGCATTTAGCCAGTAAAATGAAGTGTGTAATGATGGACAATTTACGCACTCAATGACTGCAGGTTTGCTCACATAGCGGAAGAGGCAGAGCTATCGGGTTGCACATGTTGGCTTTTTTTATTTTGGATTGTAAAAGCAAAATTCTCCTATGAGGGTGATTATAGCGCCTCCTGATGGAGAAAGCGGTTATACTCATGGCAGGTATTATTTGATAGTCTGGTCATTTATTTCAATAATTTGGCAACCGCCAAATGTCATCACAAAAACGGTTGAATTTCCGCTTAGTAAAAAAAACATAAGTGCTCCAGTTGGGACGACACTACATACATGTACTATGCTGTTGAGTGTATAAGTGCATAGTGTATAGTGTGCCATTTGGGACGCAGCTTATGTCACTGAATAGGTTTTCAAAAATAATTCGCCTTTAATGAAACGAAGTATTGTGTGTGAATTGTTGAATCATTAATTAAAGATAAAAATTATGTTTTTTTTCTATATTTAGCATTATCAGACAGTAGCAAAGACCATATTTTGTATTGAATACTTTTTCTTTTTTTCAGCTGGTTCTTTCTTGATTTTTATTTTTATTAAAAGTACAGGTTCTAAGTTTTGTTTAAAAGCAATGTTTTTTGCAGTAATATTTTTGTATAAGCGGAAAGGAAATGATATTTGTCATCTCACTTTTTTGCTGATCTGACAAATGGTCTGATCCGTGACTAAAAAACTGAGTGTGATCCGAACTGCAGATTTGTGATTCGTTACACAGCTATGGTACAGGTACACATTGACTTTTACACTTCAGAGAATAGTAAAGGCTAATTTATACTTCTGCATCGAGTGACGCATACCTTGCCAATAGTTATGCATTAATACGTCTCCAGTCTAATTGTGTTGCTTTACAACAACACCTCTGAAACACCCACACTCCTCACCGCTACCAAGCCGACCAATCATAGAGCTTTTTTTTTTTTTTTACATCACTCCTCCTTTAAGTAAATATAAGAGTCTGAACTTTGTCAGAGTATTTTTAATTTAGGAAAAGTTTACTTCTCTACATTACAAAACTAAGGGTGTCACGATCCTCCAAATCATCGATTACATTTTTGATTCTAAAGGCACGATTCGATTTTCGATTATGAATAATTAATTAATTAATGACCAATTAATTATTTTTAGCCTACCGTTTAAACTACCTGACCTGGATAATCTTTGTTTTACCCATAAACAAATCATACAGTAAATGAATAAAGGCAAGATACACACATAATTACCACCTGTCAATCACTTTTTCTGCGGGACTCGTGAATAGGCAGTGATCTGTGTCGTTATAATGGCGTCGGTAAAAAAGACGCACAACCAACAGGAACCAGCCAACAGTATCTGAGGTGTTTGCTAAAATGACAAAGTACAAGTGAGTGAAAGATTGAAGCAATCCTCTGACTGCCTGGACCTGCTCTCTCGAGCGCATGGCTGTGTGCGTCTGTGTCTGTGTGGTCACGTGACTCATTTTCAGAGTTAGAGAGGAAGGAGGGCTGCTCAGAAATGCTACACGCCAGTTTAAGTTCTGTCGACGGGTCTTCTGCTTCTGCAGTTTAACAAGCACTTCAACAAGCATGTTTTTTTCCAGCTTGGCAAGCCAAGCTGACGTGACATGGGGGCTTGGCAGCATCGACGATTCTATTTTTTGATTCGATAATCGAAATTGACCATAAATTTCGATCGATTTCAATTAAAAATCGAAATCGTGACACCCCTATGCAAAACAGAATATTGTACTTTTTGCTCCACTACATAATCTGTAATAGCGGAGTCATCTTATTCAATCAGGATTTATTGTATTTATATACATTTAAATTAACATATTAAGTACTTTTAGCAAATTGACTTTTTTATTGGAGTATTTTATTAGGGTAAAATTATTTTATGTTGGCAAAATATAAGCCATCTATTTTATTGCAATTTATTAATTAAAAATGAAACCGAAAAAAAACTGATTTACTTTTGTTGTCATTTACAGAAAGAATGTGCCATACAAGATAGTCCGTGCCTCTAATGGTGATGCCTGGCTAGAAGTCCATGGCAAAATGTACTCACCCAGTCAGGCTGGAGCATTTATACTCATTAAGATGAAGGAAACTGCTGGTGAGTTAATTTGTCTAAACAAAAATGAGCTTTTGATCTTATTTATTTATTTGAACCTGAATGATAAAGCGTTTTCTTATTTTCAGAAAGCTACTTGGGCCAGTCAGTGAAGAATGCAGTTGTTACAGTACCAGCTTACTTCAATGACTCCCAGAGACAGGTAAACAGTTTCATGATACTTTTACTTATCACTTGCATATACATTGTCTTGTGACATGCAGTTACATTTTTGGGAATGTCTGCATCAATGTACAGCAGTGTGGGCATGCATAGGCTCTAACCCTATTGGGATGGCAACCAGTGGATCCTTTGCAGCCTCTAATATCCCAAGATTCATTGCGTGCTAATAATTGCAGGACATTTTCAAAAGCAAACTCAAGATTAAATGTTTGAATTAACAGTTATTTTACTTTTAAATCTAAACCCATGTTAAAAATAAATAATAAAAATTTCATTTTATAGACAGTTTCGTGTGTACATGTATTGATTAAAGAAAATATTTTTCCAGGTTTTATAAACATTTCTTTGCCTTAAAATCACCTAAAATAAGTTTTAAAATCACTTTAAAAAAAAATAAAAATAATTACAGCTTTTTAACAGCAGCTGTTACGGTTGCTGGGTGACTAGATCTGTCCTCTGTAGACTAGATTGTGTTATTTCAACATGCTTGGTTTGGTCTGTGTGGACTTCGAAGGAGTCACCTTTTGATGTCTGTGAAGTGAGACATCAGATTTAATTCTTTGGTTTTGATTAGCATTGGAGTTGATGTAGCACTGGAGTGATCATGACAACAGCCACAACATCCAAAGGCTGGTTTTGACCGCTAATAACTGACAGTACACCGGAATTACATTTCTGGCACTAGATTAATGCAAGTGGTAATTTGTAATACACAGGTGCTGCTTTTTATTGAAATGACCTAGCTAAAATGGATTTAGAAAGTAACTTTTATTTTTTATTTTTATTAATGTTCTATACAAGCTTAGAAATGTGGATTTATATGGCATTTAACCCTCTGAGATCTTCTGCATTGCGATACAAACTTTTGTCTTTTTGTCATACAAGGACTTATGTGCATCCATAATAAAGTTTTTTTTTTTTTTTTTCATTTAATTATTGTAAAACAATTTAAAAAGCTTGAATTTCTGCTGTCACTTTCATATTAAAGGTCAATCTGAACATAAATCAACTCTGCGAATACTTCACACAGACTTGAAACCGGAGTCAGCTGAAAGCTTATAATGTCTGCTTTTAAACTATTTAACCCAACTGTAACACAGATATTATCCATCTATATAAAAATTTCCATTTAACCGTCATTACTTTTAGTTGCACCCAATCAAACAAATCAAACGGGAAAAAGAGGTTGGCGAGCAACTGTCAATTTACTCACTAATTCAGACCAATAAAAATCTGACATGAGACGCATGCTGTTATACTTGACAATGTTAAATTGCAATAAAATAAACCGTCTATTTTTTTTAAAAGTAATTTAATGATGTAATATGTGATATTTTTTATGAAATTGTAAATAATATGTATACATAACCACAATTTTTAAAATCACTTAAAAAAAATCATGTTTTAAATTAGCACTATAATTGTGTATAGTCTAATTATTTCAAAGTAATTATGCAAATGCAGTTGAGTGTTTTTAAGCCCAGAAGATGAAATTAGCAGACAAAAGCTCAAAATTATAATTTAGTTTTCAACATTTAATCTAAAATGCGCCAACGTTGTCTTTATTGATGCTCAACACTCAGATCAGTTAAAATATCAAACGTAATCTAGGATTTCATCAACCTTTGAATACTCTGGAAGGCTTGAAGAACAAATAATCCAGATCTTGCCACAATGAAAGTTTGTTAATATTTGATTTGATTTATTTGTTTCTGTCATCATTATTCTATAAAGCATATCAGTCGCAGATTACTGTTAAATTTGTGCTTATTTATTCTACTTGTAACAAACTATGCTATCCTGTCATTTTATTTGGTTTGCAACAAAGATGGATGTACATGCTTGCATGAAAAAAAAAAAATTATCCCTGACTAGTATGTTTTATGAAAATGAGTCACAGAAAAGTCATTAAACACATACTAAGTATTTCTGAATAAGACCTTTGTCTTGTTGACGAAAATATTTACTACAAAATCATTTGAAAATCCTTATTTTCTATCTTTCTGACAAATGAATACAATTTCTTTTTTTAAATTCCGTAAACCATTTTTTGTCACAAGGGAAATATGCAAGAGGAGGTGTAATTGGCCATGTGTATTTAGTAGATTCATGAGAAAAAATAAAGAGGTGTGAACCTACACTGGTCTCACGGTGCCATTGATTCGGTTCAGTTCGATGTCATGGTGCATTGACGATGATTTCCCTACACAGTTTTTTATTTTTTTCACAACACGGGAATTCTAGTAATAAAATGTATAAATATATTTATATACTAATTGTAATACAATTTTTGTCCTTTAATACAAAAAGTCAGATATATATAAACTGTAACTTTTAAACAACTCGAGCATTGATAGCAAATAAAAAAATATAAATATCTCGCTTGCTTGTCCAGCTTTTTTTTTTTACACCCCTTTGATTGATCACACGCTCATCAGAAAGGGCTGCGATTGGCTCTTACGCAATGGCACTCTTCACAGATAATTGACACTGATAAACGACAGCAGCGATCACAGGTGATCCATGATAGACACATGAAAAACTCTGCAGACACACGCTCGTGTCTGTATCCAGAAGTATCGCTGTAATAGCAGAGAGGAGAAGAAACGTGATGCCAGCAGGTCAAATGGGCCACAGTGAGAGAGAGAGAGAGAGAAAAATGGAGTTTACTTTCATCCTCTCAATCGCAGTGAAATAGGGGCTCCTGCTGTAAGTGTCAGTAAAAGGCTGTCGAGCAAAAACACAGGCAGTGAAATTGTGCACAGTTTTTGCGTTTTTAGGTAGTTAGAGCGTTGTAAATACTCACCATAGTAAGCTACAGCAACATAGCGCATATGAAATAAATGACGTCAGTACATAATAACCGCTTACGATTTTTACTGAATGTATACCGAATTGTCTGCATTGCGGTGCAACGAAGAAACAATAAATTTTGACACCCCTGCAAAGTAATCTCCCCAATCAATGCTTAGCTTGCTCCATGATGAATGTAAGAAGATAAAAAAACTATTTCAGTTTTATTGTAAATGCAGTGCAACAATGAATCGGTTAAATAGATCAAAATCAATTACTAAAAGCGTTGGCAACAAATTTCATAATCGATTCGTTGTGTTGCGACACAGATGTTTGATTTAAAAAAAAAAAAAAAAAAAAAACGAGCACTAATTAGGCGCGGAGTGGAGTAAAAATGCCCTCTCTTCTTTTCGAAAACAAAACCAACTTAACTCCACTGAAAAAAGTGTCATACTATCACAACTATGCAGCGTTTTAACCGCCTAATACTTCATTTATGTTTTAGATATGTAAATACACACAAGTACTAATAAAACAATACATTTAGAGTTTGTAGAACACAAGGAAGTCTAACAATCCATTCAAATTTAATTTGCTGATGTGTTTTATTTAAATCAGATGCACATTACACATAGTGAAAGTAACTATAAAGTTGAATCTACGCTTCTCTAAGTTCACCAGCCACTTACTTGCATGTATTTGGGGAGTAACTTATGAATTTTTGTGCTGAATCCTGGGTGTTCTGCTTTTTATGAATGAGGCAGCGGCCGCAAGTAAACATGGTGACGTCTATCTCGCGTTATTGATCACGATCACTTACATCTTTATGTGAATTGGAATATCAGGTAGTTGACATGATGAGCAAGCGTGTGAATATGTTGAATCAAAACTAAATAAAAGGGATACATCTGCCATACAGCACTATTGTGGCTGCGATATGTCGCGTTACAAACATTATGCGTTGCCACTGAAACATTAAGTGAGAATGTTCTACAAAAAAAACCGGGTCAGATAAAATCTTTTAAACTCAGCAGTGAAAGAGTTAATAACAGAAGCAGCGGTGGTATAGTTACTTTGCATTGCAAGACTAAAGACATGTTTTTATTCACTCTCCTTTTTTGGATCATTCATTTTTTCAATCATCTATTGTCATGTATAGCTGCACTGCAGAAAACTTGTCTTTCTTAGTTATTTGTCTCGTTTCCAGTTCAAATATCTAAAAATTCTTACATCAACACCAAAAAAGAAAAAGGGCATGAGAAAATTAAGTGATGCTGAAAACTTTTGTTTGAGGTTATATATTATTAATAAAATTTTTCTTACCCCATTGGCAAATAATTTAGCTTGTTTTAAGCAAACAATCACTCAATTTTGAGGTTAAGTCATTTCTTAAGCTATTTCATGTGTCTAGTATGTATCTTAATAAAAAAAAAAAAAAATTAGATAAGTGGATTAAAAAACAGGACAACTAGTTTTTATTTTATTATTGTTACTATTATAACAGCTCAGAGATTAGGTTTATTTGAAGAAAGGGTTGGAAATTAATGCTTTTCTTATATATTTTTTAATCTGATTAATAAAAAAAATAGACAGATTAATCGATTATTAAAATAATTGTTAGTTGCAGCCCTAAAAAAATAAATAGTTTGCACTGTACATATTTTATGGTGAGAGAATAGTTGTGTGCAATGATCACTGATAGATGGCACTACCATCATGGCCATATAAAATTTGAGGTCAAAATACTGTTATGTCTCACTGATGTTTCCATATTAATACCAGTAATGTATAGGTATACACTGATCAAAATACCCTTTATCTTTAGAAAAGTTATAATTTTCATGTTTTTGTTTATAGTTTATATATTGTTAGTTTGAAACATTAGAGCACAGTTCAGTCCTGCTTCTGGATGCCTGTTATCCAGCAGAGATCAACTATAATCAAACACTGAAGAAGGAGCTAATCAAGCCTTTTTTTTTTTTTTTTTTTTTTTTTTTTAGGATCATTTCAAATACACAAGCAGATCTGCTAAAGCAGTTGTGCTGGATCGCCTTTATTTAATTACCCTAATTAAACAAAGATAAACCAGGATCCTCCCTTCGCTATATTTCTTAGCTAGAGTTTAGTTAAAGAATCGTCTTTTGAATGTATTTTGCAAAAGAATAAATTAGATTCATACTTTCCCACACAGGGTAACTTGATGGGTTCTGGAAAATGAATTCAGTGTCCACTCCAGCGAAGAAAAGTAATAAAATACCCTTTTATCAATAAAATAAAATCTAGTGAAAAAGTAGAATAAACAAAGATACAAATAAAAGAAACAAAATCCTTACTCTATTCTCTGTTGCGAATAAAGGGCCTAAGACATTCAGTATACCGAAGTCAGAAAGCGCAAAGCTGATTTAAACATTTTAGCTTTTATACTCATGCATAGATTTAGATCAACTCGGAAACCGTGTTGGGAGACAGGGTTCAGAAACAGTGTTCATAAATCATCCATAAACACAAGTGCATAACCTAATTAAATCATGCGTACAAGGAGCATGCTTATCACTTTAACAGTAGGGAGACCCTTAAGGGAGGCAGATACATAGTCATCTGAGTGCATTATCAAACATAAATCAACATTTAGGCAGTTTTATTATCAGCCTGAATATATAGTGTGCCTACACATTTATGCACTTAGATTCATGTGTGTAAACTGAGCAGAGAGGTCAGCAAAAGTTCCTTTAGCTGGTTTGTTGGTTCGGCGCGCCCTCTGTCGGAGACGCCTCTCCTTTCTCTTACACTTGGCTTTATTATTAAAAGTTGTACTTTTACGCATGGGAATATCAGAATACATCAGTGATATTTTTTTAGTGTCTCATGATTAATCTCATCAGACCAATCAGACACTACACAGTGTGTGTGTGTGTGTGTGTGTGTGTGTGTGTGTGTGTGTGTGTGTGTGTGTGTGTGTGTGTGTGTGTGTGTGCTCGCTCTTTAGCACGTGAAAGCAGGGGATAGACCAATGTTCAGCTCATTGTAAGGTAATTGGGGTTAAACGGAAACTTGTGCCTCTCCTTGCTTTCATACAGATTACGTAAACTGAGAATATTTGTTTCACAATTGAGTTAAAATATTTAAAAGCAGACTTTCTAAGCTTTCAGCAAACTTGTTACTAGTTTGTGTGAGACGTATTGGCTGAGTTGGTTCATTTTCGGCCTCAATTCAGATTGAACTTTAAATGAGAGCGTGACTGCAGACACGCATGCTTTAGTTAATTATTAAAAAATATATACTATTTTATTATTTGCTTTTATCATATCACTTTTATGCAATACAAATCTGTTGTCTTTGTTACAGGCAACTAAGGATGCTGGACAGATTGCAGGTTTAAATGTGCTCCGTGTCATTAATGAGCCAACTGCTGCTGCTTTAGCCTATGGATTGGATAAGACTCAAGACAAAATGTAAGTATTAGATAATCTTATTTATTGACTTTTTTTTTTTTTTTAACTTCATACTGATGCACATGACAAATTGCTTAATACACATTGTTGCAGTTCTATAAAATGTGCCGTTAATAAAAAGATAACTTTTGATGCATTTTTTTTTCTCATTAACAATTGTCATAATGCATAGTGGATGGTTTTCCTGTGATGCATCGATTATGTCGCAGAATCGCTGATATGCACAATATTGCACAAATAGCACAGCAATATGGCTGTATATCGGCACTGGTGGGAGGCCTGCTTTGACTCGAATTTGCAGGCCAGGTGCTCTATTGTCCCACCAGTGATGATATACAGCCATATCACACTGCTACGAGTGTGATTGCATTAATACAACAGTTTAACAGCATAATAGTGTGTGTATATATTTAAAAAGAAAAACAAATACGGAGAGTCTCAAAAATGCTTTTGTATGAGGAACTACTGCCATTTTATTCACATTTGCAGCTGACGGTCAGAACAGCAGAAACCATTGCTACTTCACCTACGACACTTTAGAGCTAGTAATTGAATAATTCTCTAGCATGATGGCCAAAATGATGATTGAACGGGGGCTTTTGCTTACAATTTAAGATTATAAGGCCAAACAGCATGAAAATACATCAGTCTACAGAGGTTATCCAGCATTTCTCTGTTGTAATCGGGATTTTAAATTAAATATCCCTGAAAAAGACAAAGCAAACACTGTCAGATTACTATGATATAAATACAGCACTACAAAGTACAACAGAGAGAGAGAGAAATCAACTTAGAATGTCATTTACCTGTTCTGTAATGATTTGTCCAGCTGTAGTTTTAAACTTGTACTGAGAAATGGCTGTCTTTCGCCCCTTAGAACTTATTTGCTTTATCACCATCTTGTGGTAGAGTCAATCATCTTTATTATGTTCAGTATGACTGAATCTCTGATATTATGAATATTTAAAATAGGCACTATCCTAGTCAATAAATTGCATAGTTGCAATATAAATAGCTACATTCTCACCTAAAAAAAATGCCTCAAAAGTACATTGTTGTCCAACAGCTGCAATATGTCAATTTGTTCCGAGTTTATTGATCTGCTGTCACTATGTAGGCGGAGTAATACATAAGCCAGGAGTGAAGAGGCTGTACGAATTGTGATATTGCAGAATATCACAAAGCTATCAGCCAATCAGATTAGAGAAACTGACAGTACTCGTGGATAAATTGTGGTCTATCAATATCGGGGGCTAAATATTGTGATAATGTCGTAATGGGAGTTAACCTGCGATTAGTGTGTACGTGTGACAGTCAGATTTCTAGATGTGGAAGCACGCAAGTCAAATAATCGAATGTTACATCATTGCATCCTTGCATGTTAATAATGTTTACAAGATTTTAGCATTTCCCCTACACACCAATTATTTAGAGACTGTATACTTTGCCTGTTTTTACAAATAAAGTATATAAATACAGAAATATTTTTTGCTTTAAAGATGCTCTAATTTTAAGATGCTGTCAGGTTACATGTGAGTAAATAATGTTTAAAAGTAATGCACAGTACGTAATTTGTTATTAATTGTGCACTCAGCCCAATGTGTTTTTATATTGCTAGGGCTTTTTTCAGATGATGTTTTTAGACTTTGACTTGCGTTTAATCTCACTGTCTTCATGACAGAATTGCTGTTTATGATCTTGGTGGTGGAACCTTTGACATCTCTGTTTTGGAGATCCAGAAGGGTGTTTTTGAGGTGAAATCTACCAATGGAGACACCTTCTTGGGAGGAGAAGATTTCGATCAGCACCTTCTCAGGCACATAGTGAAAGAGTTCAAGAAAGAGGTTTGTAGTCATCATTTGATGCACTTTTGACTACGTAAAATATACCACATCAAAGTGGACAAATGTAGAGAACTGAATGTAAATTAAATGTAAAGTTTGTAAAGCTACTATTGAGCTAGCAAATATGGGGGAGAGGGTGCATTTTACAGCCAAGCAAAAATGTATACCTTAGATTTCTGAGCCAAGTTATATTGATAGTAGGGATGCAACAATACAGTTAGCCCACGGTTCAATACATACCTCGGTTTTTAACATGGTTTTTGGTTCGGTTCTCATGGCTTGACGCATATATATATATATTTTTTTACTGTATAGGCAATAGGAACAGTGAGAGGTTAAGGAGAAAAAAAATTAAACAATTTATTGCACTACTCATTTTGTTTTACCTAAAAATCAAGAAAAGTACACTAGTTACTAGTGTATTGTATAAAATAAAATCTCACAGCTGCTGGTAGCCTATGTCCAAACTGGGGAACACAAATTCCTACATTTTAAAAATAAACGTACATGTGAAGTTAAGATTAATTGGGCGTTTCAAATAAACACATTTGTACTTGAGTAAACATAAACCATCTTAATTATCTCGGTGCTAAAAAAAATTTGAGATTGTAGTCTGTAACTCGAATCCATTGCTTTTTTTTTTCGGTGACAAAAGCCTGCATCTAATCACCGAAAATGGCTGCAAGTCTTAAGCAATATACTTCCCTGGAGTAATATACAAAATCGAAATGTCCTCACACCGCAGATTTGAAAGACGTCATCGCTTCCTTGTACTGTTGCCTCACTTCGCTGGCGCTTCCTTGTACTGCTGTCTCAGCCTTACTTCACTGCCGCTCGGCCTTGTTAAAGAGTGGAATGATGGTTAAGCGCTCCCTAGCTAGAGCATAGTGATAGGATATTTATTAGTGGGGAGGAGTTTCCTCATTTTAGCTCATAGACTTACAGGCATACACAGTCAATTCGGGGAGATGTAGAACGCACAAATTATTTAAACGCGAAACCAAGAAAAACGCAATTCACAAGCGCGGATTGATCGTGGATGTCATACTGAACGGTTCAATCATGACATGCCTAATTAATAGCCACTATGAAAACAAAGTTCTCAAGAAGAATATTGACGCTAAAATCATTTTAATATCACTGTTTTGATGTTTTAAGATGTCAGGATTAGTACATAATTTTTGGCTGAAGTGGAAACCATTTTAAAGGGATTTTTAACTTTTAAGCCTAAATTTGAGAGATGCTTTTAAATAAAAATGTATGTCAGAGTTTGTTCTGCTACTGTGAGTTGGAGGCGTCTAATGTGAAATTTCATTGCAGTCTGGTGTGGATTTGATGAAAGACAACATGGCACTGCAGAGGGTGAGAGAGGCAGCAGAGAAGGCAAAGTGTGAACTGTCTTCCTCTTTGCAGGTGAGTGTCAGCATGTGATCAGCTAAAGACCAAAAAAGCCTTTCTTTAGTCCTTTATTGTAATAACTGTAACAATAGTGTCAATTGATTTAAAGTGTCATAGAAGAAAAATCTGGATATTCAGGCATATAAGAGTGTATTGACTAATAAGAGTTTATTAAGTACATTGAAACGAGCCTCAAGCACCATTGTTTACTTTAATCAAGTAAATCATATGGGTGTAAAATCCTGGTGAAAAACAGGCAGTATGAAACATCACACTGACAATCTGCATGGGATCATTAATATGCATTCCACTAGCAACATTTGAATAGGCACAACATTTTCTAGTGAAAGAAAAAAAATAAACGTGTTATATGTTATCTTTTTCCATGTACTGAACCTGTGAGCTTATTCGTACCTGCATAGGTATATTTAAAGCTCAATATATATTTTTTGATAATGTTTATTTAGATTTTTACAGACATTTTCAGTCTTCCCATTTAATCCAATGATGTTCAGAGCACAGCTGTCAGACCGAGCAGTGATGTTAATCACAAACATGCATCCAGCCAATGCTCAGCAGTAGGTTATAGTTCTGAAAGCTTTCACTGGAGCATTTGAATGCAGCGTCAAGTTCATATACATTTGCTCATAGACTGCTTTCAGTGGACTCTTGGTTGCATGGATACTTTTGAACTGTGGCACACAAGCAGGCTCATCGACAGGGTGCTTTTTTCATTATCAATTGGAACTGAAGTCTTTTAAAGTCTATTTTTACTTCTGAGTTGGAAGATGAGGTAATGAAACCTCAGCACCATCCCCAACACCAGCTGTGTCAAAACACACTAACTTTGTTCGTTCTTTCAGCTCTGAATAGCTGAAACATTCACTGTTATTTTTGTGTAAGAGTAGTCAGTCCGTTTAATAGTTTTGAGGTAAAGGTTAGTCTGAGTTTGTTTATTTGATGGTTTATTAAAAATAAAACAGATACAAATAAACTCACAGACTTCTTTACCTTTGCAAATGAAAGATTAACATTAATCTATTATACTGTTTTGATTTTTTGAAATGTTATTTTGTTTGTGGAGATTTCATAGTTTGAGACTTTGCATAGACGTAATGGGAGTTTTGGCAGCTTTTCTGAGGCTGCTTACATATTATATCCATATGGAAATTGAATCATATTGACTGAAATTAAGATGTATATCATGATATACATTTTGACCATTGTTGTCCTGCCCAAGGTATATTCGTATGTTCATTCTATTGAATATTAATTGTAAAAAAAAAAAAAAAACATTTCAAAACAGCTGAGAAGTTAAGATTGATTTCCTTTCTTAATTGTTAGCAATTATTATAGCAGTTATTCAAGTTCTGCTTGATTTTCTAATTTATTAAAACAATAAATCCTAGGTTTCTATTATTTTATTGATTGTTAACTAAATTGAGTGTAAATATTGTAATTCATACTATCTTCATTTTGCACATAGACTGACATCAACCTGCCATACCTGACAATGGATGCTTCAGGTCCTAAACACTTGAACATGAAGCTCACACGGTCTCAGTTTGAAGGTATAGTGGCAGATCTCATCCGCAGGACAGTCGCACCCTGTCAGAAGGCTATGCAAGATGCTGAAGTCTCCAAAAGTGACATTGGCGAGGTTTTACTAGTTGGCGGAATGACCCGAATGCCGAAGGTAGGAGCCAAGAAAAGCTTAAGATTGTTTTTTGTATTGATAATTTTTGATACTTTAAATTAAATTCTATTTTTTTTTTTCTCTCTCTAATCTTAGGTCCAGCAGACAGTTCAGGATCTGTTTGGCCGTGCTCCCAGTAAGTCTGTTAACCCAGATGAAGCTGTGGCCATTGGGGCAGCCATCCAGGGTGGAGTTCTTGCAGGGGATGTGACGGATGTGCTCTTGTTGGATGTTACCCCACTGTCTCTTGGCATTGAGACTCTTGGAGGAGTCTTTACCAAACTCATCAACAGAAACACAACAATTCCTACCAAAAAAAGCCAGGTAGGTGATTTAAATTTGAAAAAACATCTGCAGTGCTTATTTTTTGTATTGATTAAATGTGTTGGTAATAGTCATTGTTAGCGCTAATCGATGCTGGTGATTTTTAGGTGTTCTCTACTGCGGCTGATGGACAGACTCAAGTGGAGATTAAGGTTTGTCAAGGAGAGCGAGAGATGGCTACAGACAACAAGGTTCTGGGACAGTTCACTCTGGTATGTATGTGCCTTAGAAGAAAAATTGACATAATAGTGCAGATTTAAATTTAATATAATATCGTGACCCAAAGTGCTGATTGGTTCAATTTGTGTACTGAACAGGTTGGAATCCCTCCTGCTCCTCGTGGAGTTCCACAGATTGAAGTTACCTTTGATATAGATGCTAATGGGATAGTACATGTCTCCGCTAAAGACAAGGGCACTGGCCGAGAGCAACAAAGTAAGTCCTAACTATAATAAGATTCAGTAAAACCATTTCTTTTATCAATGTGCGGTTTATTAACTTGCTTAATTTTAAAGCTTATTGTTATGGGATGTTAATGGTTAGTTTTCATCATTGTCACTCTGATTGCTGTTTTAAGCCTTGGTTATAAGTAGGCCCACATGGAATCTCCGCACGCATAATTCCGCAGATTTTTAACCCATCGTTGATTCTTTATTCAGTTTTTAAATTAATTTCAGTAATATTATTAACTAATATGAAAATATTTGATTTATTTGCAGTATAGCTTGTAAAGTAATATTTTCTGTCTTTTAGTAGATATATTATATGAGAGACTTGCTTTGTTTACCAAATAAAGTGGATCTGATTGAATTTGATTTCGTAAACATTAAATATAAGTTAAAGGTATTACTTTTTTTATTTCATATATTAAGATTTTAGTTATGATACTCGCAAAATCATTCCGCATAAATCCACAGATTTTTAAACTTCAGCGCAGAAATTGCAAAAAATGTCCCCAGATTCCGTCTGGCCCCAAGTAATGGGGCTAGCAGTTCACAGTATCATTAATCTAGTAAATGGTACAGAACAAATGCCAAATAACAGTAACTTTTTGAATTTTGTTTTTGAAATTTCAAATATTTCAGTAATGTTTGTTCTTTTCACTTTTACAAATCCATTCAACTTTGTTTGAATATACAGATTTGCTGCCACACATTACATAAGTAAAATGGTTTGTGAAAACCATTACATGATGAGTTTTTTTCCCTTTAACTTTATTCAGTTGTCATCCAGTCATCTGGTGGCTTAAGCAAAGATGACATTGAAAACATGGTCAAGAATGCTGAGAAGTATGCGGAGGAGGACAGGAGAAGGAAGGTAGTGTCTATTTTAATGTTAATTCAAATCCTGTGTTTTTTTTTTATTTTATTTTTTTTACTAACTTTGTTTTATTGGATTTTTTTTTAAAAAGTTGCAAGTATAAAGACTAAATGATCATTTTTATTTAAAGGACCGTGTTGAAGCAGTCAACATGGCAGAGGGTATCGTTCATGACACAGAGTCAAAGATGGAGGAGTTTAAGGATCAGCTGCCAGCTGACGAGGTCTGACATTTACTGGTTTGTTATCTTTAGTGTGGAGAAACTGTTGTTTTGTGTAACACTGGTAATTGTTTTTTTTCTTTTGTAGTGTAACAAATTGAAGGAGGAGATCAGTAAAGTACGAGAGCTTCTCTCGCGAAAGGATACCGAGACAGGAGAGAACATAAAACAGGCAGCCACAAGCCTGCAGCAAGCCTCACTCAAACTGTTTGAGATGGCATATAAGAAGGTATATTCTAACTTTTTACTTTGAATCTTTTATTTCAAATCTTTTTTTACATTTGAAATTGTTAATATAAGCCTGCTGAAGCAGTATACTTAAGCAATCAGCAAATAATTAAGATTTTTAAAGGTGATTATCAGTAAACACCATTGTATTTTTTAACATATTGCTCAGCACTACTGCCTACTAGCATTTCAAAGTTGTTAGTGGTGGTGCAACATTAACAGAAGTTTAAATGTTAAATACATTTGCCTAAAGAATAGTGTGTGTGTGCGCGTGTGTGTGTGCTAAGGATACATAGATGACTCGTCGTATGTCAACAAATATTAGTTGTCATTTTGATCACATGACCTGCAGAATCTTGATTTGACCATAATTGGAGACCACCCTCCTGAATGCTATTGCAGTTGAAGGAAACAGATATGCAGATTATGATAGAGTGCAAATGACGGTTCACAAAATGTAACACTTCATTTAGGCTAGTGATACACGCAAAGGTCATTACATGACAGACTGGCAGGTTTGGGAAACTTTGAAGCGATGCTTCAAGACTAGGGATCTCTTTAAGCAAGATTTTTTAAGAACTTGGATGACTTCAGCAAAATCAACAAGTTTGACTAAAGCAGTGTTATGCTGTATTTTATAGACATTAAGTAGCCAGTCCTTGAGCTTGAAGCCCTTTACAGCCTCAGGACTGACCCCTTAACAAAACTGTAAATGGCAATAAAGAAACACCCCCTACTATGTGCTTGTAGCAAAGACAACAAGACTAGGTAATGTAGACTAAATTATGGTTGTGCTTAATAGAAATGGTCAGACAGATGTGTTTAGAGTTCTATTTTGAAGCTTTAACATGCTGGGCACTGAATACATTGAGAATCTGCATATTGTGCACTTTGCCTGTGAACATCTGAGCTCCTTGTTAAAGTCCATCGCACTCCATTGTTTTCCATGAGTGTGCTGTATGCACACCATGTTCAATTTTTTCACATTGCTTAGCAATGCATAAACAATGCAAAGAAGTATGGCGACTTAAGTCATGCCTCTTCTGTTTCCAAAATAAGAGTCTCACATTTATGAATGAACCAAAAAATGTGGATAAAAATCCCATTATTGTAACCTCACTGGGTACCGTGGCCAATCAAAAGCAGTCTGGTGCATGCATAATAATTTTACACTCACGGGATTTACATGAATGGGTAAAGACTGGAGTTTGAAGCTCATAGTACAGCCTTTTCCATGCCCTCTTATTCGACTAAGTATATCCAGATTTCCATTTATATGGCACCTTTAGTGTAATGTTATATGAGAATACTGGACAGCATATTTGATGTTACACATCGCAAATTATATTTCTCGAAAACCCGTATGACCTGCTCTTTAAATACACAGTGTATTTTTTCAGTGTTAAGTAGAATTTGTGGAATTGATAGATGCTTTAGAACAGGGGTGTGTCCCCAAACTCTGTCCTGGAGGGCCGGTGTCCTGCAAAGTTTAGTTCCAACTCCAATCAGACAAACCTGGACTAACTAATCTAGATTTAACTAGGCTTTTAACAACCATGCTGGTGTATTGAGGCAAGTATTAGCTAAAATCTGCTGGACACCAGGAACTACTTGGACTACCCTAGCCCTTAAGTCTTGGTTGTTGTTGTAATTATTGCACTTTATTTATATATATATAAAAAATATATATATATATATGTGTATGTATATATATATATGTGTTTATATATATATATATATATATATATATGTGTTCGAAATTCATGTAGACTATGTACTTATTAAAGTTAGTAAAATGAAAACTAAAAAAAACAGCTATTCAAAAAAATACATTTAATAAAAACCTATACCTGCAGCCCTAATAAAATAGGATTGTTTTCTGAATCTATTTGTCATGTTATTTCTGTTACTCGTTTATTTCATGCTTTGTGTATTTCTGTGCATGTATCTGTTATTTCCTTTACCTCATGAATTGGATTGTGGTTTACAGATGGCATCTGAAAGGGAAGGCAGCAGTGGCTCAAGTTCATCAGGAGAAGCAGGAGAGAAGAAGGAGGGTCAACAGTAAAGCCGGTGACCGTTGAGATCGTTTGTGGAACTGAATGGCTTGGGAGCGTGAATTTGTTTTCCTGAGCAGCGCATGCAGAATATTCTCAAACATACTGTGTTTTTGGCAGTAATTTCTACAAAACTAAATTGTCCTTTTCCTCATTTACCTCCCTTACATTGTTTTACATTCATTTGTGTCTGCTGTAAATCTGTATCAGCCTTGGAAAATAAATGTGCAGCATGTTCGATTTGCCACCGTGGCTTCAAAAATCAGTGCAATACATGTTAGCTTGACAAAATACATGCTCTCACCGCAGGCATAATCTTATTGCCATTTAGAGATGCATTCCAGCCATTTGGCCTCAGTGTTGTATGGAGTCCTGTTTTTGAGTTAATTATTTTTATTATTACTGAAAATGTGTGTGTGTTGACCTGATGGGGTGGAATGCATGTCTGAATGGCTTTAGGGTGTATTTACAGTTAGTTTATACTGAATACTTTAATACTTAAGTGTGGCTGAAGTGTTTCAAGAAAACAAAGTTTTATTATAATCACTAGAGTATCTGTTCTATCAATTCTCCTTAAATGCATCGATTTCAAGCTTGTGCCAGTCAGTTTGAGGTTGGGTATGAAACTTGAATAAACCTAGGTAGCGTGGAATTGATAGTCAAATTGTCAGTTTGTTCATACAGATACTAGTGCACATAAAGTACATTAGTACGTGTATGTTAGCTTGACATGTATAAACCTGTATCTCCAGACTAGATGATATTTAAAATGGATGCTCAAGCAAACAGGTTTAATTTCATTTTAATCTATGTATTGCTGTTAATGACAATAGTGATTTATTACAAGTCAGGCTGTCTTGAGTGAAGGATCAACTACTTATTGTCATTTCCTTGCTGCAAAATATAACACAATCCCATCTTCTCTGCTTTTTCTATATGACTTTCTGGTTCATTTAAAGAAAAATAAAAACTAACCACAGTTGCTCTGTACAAAAGCTGTTGTCTGTTTAAAAGAATTGTAAAATGTTCAAAATGGAATTGATTGAATAGATGAGCCTAAAGTAAACTTCCAATTCTGTCTTTTTTTTATAATAAAATGTGTATTTATCAGCTGAGCAATGTTTGTAGTGGTGTGTCTTGTTCCCACAGCACTACATTTTGAATGCCTCTTTAAATTATGGTACCTAATTAATGTCTTGGAGTTGTATGGATTATGATCAAAATACCCAAGTGCAGCTTATATTTAACTTGCATGAATTAATTATTCACCAAATTGCATGTCTAAAACTCTTCACAAAAGTTTGGAAATGAGAGTGTGGACCTAATGGGATACAGTGCATCTGGAAAGTATTCATAGCGCTTTTCACATTTTTTAATGTTACAGCCATATTTCAAAATGGATTAAATTAATTTATTTCCTCAATTCTACACACACTAGCCCATAATGAAATGATTACATGTACATAAGTATTCTCAGTGTTTGCCTTAAAGCTCTAAATTGAGCTCAGGTACATTCTGTTTCAACTGATGTTTCTTGAGATGTTTCATCAGCTTAATTGAAGTCGGTCTGTGGTAAATTCAGTTGATTAGACATGATTTGAAAAGGCATACACCTGTCTATATAAGGTCCCAGGGTTGACGGTGCATGTCAAAGCACAAACCAAGCTTTTTTTTTTTTTTTTTTTTTTTTTTTTTGTTGAAGAAATTTGCATTATTTTTACATTTTCTTTTTACAATCTCATGATTGTTATTTTTGTTCGTATTGTGATGTAAAAGGGTTTTAGAAGTTATTACAACATAACAGCTCACAATTTTGTTGCCAGCGAAACCAGCGAAAGAGACGTTTATAGATAAAATGAGTTTTTCTAATAAAAAATATAAAAACTACAAAAATTTAAAAGGTTGTCACGTTGCTTCCAGTAATATCTTGGAAAAATGAAATGGAGAAAAAATTGTCTTAAATGAATCAAATTTTATTATAATAAACAATTAAAAAAAGCTTAATTCTAAAATTAATGTAAAAGGTTCATTTTGTCAATTTCATACAGAAACTTTATATTTTGGGATTGTAGTTGGGATATATATTTTGGGATTGTAATTATGCTGTACAATTTTGGAAACATATTGGCTCATTTATTAATGATAATATACTGCAAGATGTTACTTTTAAAGAAATTATTTTTGGTTTTGAATCTGCCTCTACTAATGCTTGTTTTGTCATAAATTTAATGTATTTTCTTTAAAGTCCATATCCACAAATACAAATTTGCTAATACCAAACCATATTTTCCTGTTTTTTTTTTTTTTTTTTGCAAGAATTTAGTCATTATTTACATTTAATTTCATTATCTGAAAATATAAAAGCAAACAGAACCATTTCATTTTGGAATGACTAATTCATACTATGTAATTAATTCTTAAATGTCTTAGCCTCAAGTTTGTCATGTTCTTTATTTTTGTTTTTTTTCTCGTGTATTTTTTTTTTATACTCTGGATTGTAAACAAATATAGATATAATAGTTTAACTAACTTCTAATAACTTTTTTTTTATCTTTCCCACAGTTAGTTATTTTGCAAGATAGTTGTATACTGACAAAGTGCCTTTATTCTGAAGCCTTTGATTTAGATTAAAATGTAATTTAAAGACTTGTTTATTAGGACAGTTGGAATAATTGGTCGAGTTATTGTATAACTAGTTTTTTTGCGTAGACAATCAAAAATATAAAGTAAATATTTCTTAAGGAGGCTAATAAAACTGACCTTATTATTTTTTTTATTAGAAACTGCTTTTATTCAAGAAATATAAGAAATAGGACTTGTGACTCCAGAAGAATTATTTTTTGTTTTATAGGAAATACTGTGAAGATTTCCTTGGTTTGTTAAAGATCACATGGAAAACATCTTAAATTAATGGGTGGGCAAAAAAAATTACTTCAATTCTCTCTTTTAAAGATTACAGGTGCGAAAATGTGCCTTGAACTTGAATGTTAAAACTGTCTTATCCTACAATACAAAGTTACTTGTCAAATAAGTTAATTTTGAGTTTTAAAAATGTATTATCTTATTTAAATAATTGTTTAAGTAGTTTGTGATGTATGTTAAAAGTGTGCCTCCTAAAAGTACAAGTGATCCCTGCCTGGCCCCTCCAGTTACTCTGGTCTAGAACCGCCACTGGCTGGCAGCAAGTAGATATTTATTATAAATAGGAAATGTAATGCATATATTTATTTACAACCAAGTAGCCAATCCAATTGTCCCAGTTGTCTTTAACATACACATTGTAGACTTTTTTTCCATTACCTCATTATCCTTAATGTGAAACTCCTCCGGGACTGTTGCTTGCTTTCGCTTTTGTTTCAGTAAGATACGATGACACACCATCTTCACTGATCTGAGGAGCAGGAGGGCAAAGTAAGTTTACTTGGTTTTGATGTACATGTTTTACATAGTATCGTTTTCTGGAGCCTCAAAATAAAGTAGTTTTGTCCTTGAAACAAATACAGACATTAAGACGTAATAGGTTTACCAACACAGTGTAAAAAAAATAATGAACTGTCAACTTAGTTCAGCTAAAATTTAGCCGCTTTAATGTAACGTTGTCGTTGTGACGTTACGTTAGACTAGAAAAATTACATTACTGCATCTTAAGTCGGGCTTTACCAGTTGATTATCCCATTACGTTTTTGACCAAAAACGGATTATAAATACATTACATACATGAACTTAAAGTTGAAGTTTGAAAAAATGTTCATAACTACTGGACTTTTATTTTGAAATTGTGTTTACAGTGTCTTTCTAAGGTCACAGCGTCTGAGTTCACTTGAACGCGATTTTGAACTCCAGTCGGAGGGGTGCAAGGCTTTCAGAGGCGGTGAGAAATACTTGAAACTTATTTGATAAGTTATGTCATCGCGTTAGAGCTTAATTTACTTTTTTTCATGTGATGTTTAGTTGCTTATTAAAGTTTGTTACGCATGAGTAAAATACAGAAAATACTTACTGTATTGGCGCGCAGGACCCCCCAACCCACGCATCAAATCGTCATAAAACAGCCATGTTTGACATTATCGTCATCATGATCAATTTCACTTTTGAAAGTGGCGTTATGAAAAGTTTTAATGTGCATTTGTTTGGTCTGTTTTTTTAGTGTCATTCATCCTTGCACTAACGTACAGCAGTAAAACAGTAAGCAATTAAGTTATACGAATTGAGTTACGTTATTATGACACTAGTTTCAACGTACAATTAACGAATACTAATTGTAAGTATTGAAAGCGTAACGTGTACTTTAGCGTCGTATGAATTGTGTTGGGTGTATGGGGTGTTGAAGTAGTGACTGTTGAGGTAACTTAGCAGCTGAGTCTGCAAAACCTCACTTCCGTATCAGCAACTTAAGACTTTGCCTTCATGTTCAGTTTTGTACATTTAAAATAACTAAGAATAGACACTTAAACCAAATTAGGCATTTGGAGTTGCTAATATTTATTATTTCACCTGAGAATTAAATTTAATCTAAAATTAGATATCATATTTCTGGAATATTTAGTGATTTTAAACTACCAATATATTAACCGTGTCTACTTTTAATAGGTAGTCTATTTTAAATATTTAGAATATTTAGTCTGTTTTAAACATTTTTTTCAAATTTGTTCACATCACGTCTGTTTGACTCATCTAATACTAGTCAAAAGTTCAATAAAATTTCTAAATTAATGTGTGTGTGTGTGAGAGCTATTCCATGCAAAGGTCAACCTTGCCATGAAAAAAATTTAAGCTTCAACCAAAGTAGCAAAACCGTTTGTACATTTTTGGTGTTCAAAAAACCTACTCAAAAATGTCTACGTCAATGTTTTCAAACTATTATATTTCATTTAGCAAAGTCACACAAGTGCCAATTTCACATCAGTCACATCCATAACGAAACTTTTACCTCAGAAATGCAAAAGTGTAAAATAAAATAAAATCAATCATGTTTGTTCTATAGAGAGTCAACTCTTTTCCTTTTTATTAGCGTTGTTTCTCTTGGGTTTCATTCACAGAATTTCTACGTGTGTTGTTTGCTGTAAACTTGAATACCTTTTTCGTCACATCAGTAACACATGTTTATTTTCCTCATTTGAAATATAAAAAGTTTTTACAGATTGATATTTTTGTGATTTCATCACTCTGTGGTTAGTTGTTTTGGACTATATAAACAGATTTTTCAATATAATGTTAACATATTTTCTCTGAATTTAAGTTTAAAGTTTTTACTGCAAATGTCACATCCATACCGCTGGAATTGATTATGTGTGTGTGTGTGTGTGTATGTATATATGTGTATGTATGTATGTATGTATGTATGTGTATATATATATATATATATATATATATATATATATATATATATATATATATATATATATATATATATATATATGGCTGATTCCAGCGTCATGGATGTGACATTTGCAGTAAAAATTCAAAACATAAATTCGCAGAGAAAGTATACGTTAACATTATATTGAATCATCTGTTTATATTTTCCAAAACAACTAACCACAGAGTTATGGGATCAAAAAAATTCAATCTGTGAACATTTTTATACTTTAAATGAGGAAAATAAACAAGCGTTATGGATGTGATAAAAAAGTCTGCGAGTTTACAGTATACAACATATTTCGTAGAAATTCTGTGAATTAAACTGCACAACCCAAAATAAATAATGCTCAACAAAAGGATAAGAGTTGGCTCTTTATAGAACAAAACTGATTGATTTTATTTTATTTTGACATTTTTGCATTTTTGAGGGAAAAGCTTTGTTATGGATGTGACACTTTTTCGTTATGGATGTGACATGTGAAATTGCCATTTGTTTGACTTTGGTAAATCAAATATAATAGTTTGAAAACATTGACAGAGACATTTTTAAGTATTTTTAAAATACGGTAAAACAGTTGCCTGCGCAAAAAATGTAGAAACGGTTTCGCTATTTTGGTGAAAACATTTTTCTTTTCATGGCAAGGTTGACATTTTAATGGAATTGCTCATATATATATATATATATATATATATATATATATATATATATAATATCATAACAGATTTCAAAAAAATGTTTTTTTGCCGCAGAGTGAACTTTGCTAATGCCAAGTTAATGTAGTAGAAAGTATTTTGGTAAAAAAAAAACAAAAAAAAAAAAACTTTTGTTTGATTTTTAGGTGCCACTGCCTGTTTGGATGCAGAATGCAGACGATTAAGTGTGTGGTGGTGGGAGACGGTGCGGTAGGCAAGACATGCCTTCTTATTTCTTATACGACAAATGCCTTTCCAGAGGAGTACATTCCCACAGTGTTTAACAACTACAGTGCTCAGATGAGTGTAGATGGGCGCACTGTCAGCCTCAACCTCTGGGACACGGCAGGGCAGGAGGAGTATGACCGTCTGCGCACGCTTTCTTACCCACAAACTAATGTTTTCATCATTTGCTTTTCCATCGGAAGCCCTTCATCATTAGCTAATGTTCGCCACAAGTGGCACCCGGAGGTGTCTCACCACTGTCCCAACGTGCCAATTCTTCTAGTTGGCACCAAGAAGGATCTGCGTTCAGATACAGAGACAATTAAGAAGTTGAAGGAGCAAGGGCTTGCACCCTCTACTCAACAGCAGGGTGGCACCCTGTGCAAGCAGATCAATGCTGTGAGGTATCTGGAGTGCTCGGCGCTCCGCCAGGAAGGCGTGCGGGATGTGTTTGTAGATGCTGTTCGTGCTGTGCTCTATCCCATGACCAAAAAGAATACCAAGAAGTGTGTTCTCTTATAGTCGGCTGTACATCGGGAACTGCTGGAGGAGTATAATTTTATTAACAAGCTGACCCTTTTATTTGTGTAATTTTTTTTTCTGTGTCTCACTGACTTTCTCCTGCTAACATAAGTACCTTTCGTTTTTGTATTACTTGTAGATCAGTCTGCCAAAGTTATTCGCCTATTTTTTTATGATAATAGAAAACAGATTATTTACGGATGCTCAATGAAAGATATTTTTATATACAGATTAGCGGTGACCATGTCCATGATTAGCAAGTATGTAGAGTGGGATTTTTGCTTGATAATGACCTTGACTGTGCATTCTGATTAATGTGCAATTTAATGAAGACTGACTGAGACAGACACTTTAGGTTTCCCTTTCAATTCTTTGATAAGCCCCTTAAAGTCTTTTTTGTAGCTGTTATATATAAAAGCAATATTTCAACCAGTTGTAAAAGGATATGTTTTTCTCCAAAATCAGGTTTATCAAAAGAAAAAGTTTAGAGATACAACACCTTTTAAGGAGCATTCTGATATCTGTTATTCACAATCGCCAGCTGTTAAAAACTTATTTCCATAATGCAAAAACGAAACCATGATTTTTATTTATTGATAATTATTTTTAGTGTCATGCTGTACAGTTTTTTTTTTCAGATATATTTTTATTTTACAAAAAAAAAAAAAAACATCCTAATAGTCTCACATATTTTTGGGATGAACAATAACTCCAATATCTAGTGAGATTTGCCTGTCCCTTTAAGAATTGTGTCTTATGTGCTTTTTTAAAGCAAGTAATATATTACTATTTTTATTAGATTTGAGCAGCATCCCATTTTCTTGTTAGATTTTTTTTCTTATGAAGCAATTATTTACTCAAAGCTTACTGAAGTTAAACTTTTAGTTAGAACTAAGTCTTATCTGCCATGCCCTCAGCCTGATTCCTAGGATTCACCCTGTATTTTAAAGCAGCACAAGAGTTGTTTGTCAGTTGTTTTTATTAGATCCGTCATTCCTATGACCAAGTGAATGTCTCACACCGGCTGCACTGTGTGATACATGAACAGTGATTTGTCTGTCAAACCCAAAGAAGACTGAGCTGCAGGCATGCGTGGCTTCTGTCGTTTTTAACTCGCTGGGTCCAAAGTTCAAACCTGCACTAAGATGAGTGCTATTTGCTTCTGTTTGCTTTGGAGAAAGAAGTACTCCAAACTACAGGATATATATACCGGCCGCTTTATTAGATACAGTATACTAGATGGACCCCTTTTGCCTTCAGAACTGCCTTTATATTTCTAGGCATAGATTCAACAAGGTACTGGAAATATGCGATGCCAATCTTCTTTTCCACAGCATCTCAAAGGTGCTCTATTGGATTGAGATCTGGTGACAATGGAGGCCATTTGAATATAGTCAACTCATTGTCATGTTCAAAAAACCGGTCTGAAATTAGTTGCGCTTTGACATGGCATGTTGTCCTGCGGGAAGTAGCTACCTGGTCTGATCTTGTGCTGCTGTAGCCCATCCACTTCAAAGTTTGATGTGTTGTACGTTCAGAAATGCTTTTCTGCATACCTCGATTGTACCAAGTTTCTATTTAAGGTACTGTTGCTTTCTATCAGCTCACCGATCTGGTCATTCTCCTCTGACCCCTGGAATCAACATCTCTGTAAACCCTAGAGATGGTTGTTTGTGAAAATCCCAGTAGATCAGCAAGTTCTGAAATACTCAGACCAGCCCTTCTGGCAAAAACAACCATGTTCAAACGTTCAAAGTCACCTATAACACCGTTCTTCTTCATTCCGATGCTCAGTTTGAAATGCAGCAGATCTTATTGACCATGTCTACATGCTTAAATGCATTGAGTTGCTGCCATGTGGCTGGCTGATTAGAAATTTGCGTTAATGAGCAGTTGGACAGGTGTACCAAATAAAGTGGCCGGAGAGTGTGTACTGTATATGAATAGAAATGTGTCATTTCGATATATTTGTTTGGATAGGGAGGGATTTTATTTTTACTATAAACCAAGGGTTATTTTATTCTGCTTTACATGATGAATATGAGGGTATAAGTTGTCTGTCATGTTACCTGACAACACTGGCCACTGTTTTTTAGTATCAGAGTTTTCAAAATATGGGATACCTCCCCATGTTGCTAACATCATGCCGTAAGTGACTACATTGATCGTGGTCAAAGTAATTGTTGTAGGCAGTTGATGAACTGCAGCTATGTATGGGGTTATAATGTGTTATTTAACTCCATGGAACAAGAGCTTTTTGTGCTTTCATAACTGGAAGTTGCCGTTGTGCTAAACTGACATCAATGAATCACCGTGTAGTGTGAAAACCGAGGCTGTGGAAACCTGTGATTTTATAACTGATTGTCATTTATGTTTTTTTATATTGCCTTGCATTTGAAAACCTTTAGCTTTTTAAAATTGTCTGCCAAAGTGCCTTTGGATACAGAGATTTTCTGTGCAGGTTCATGTTTGAATCACACCTTTTATGATTTACAGTGATGTTTGTTTCTGATGACGTAATTCCTGTTTTGATTTGAATAACGTGTTGCTGAACCGGATGTGTTGTTTGCTGAGATGAAAAAGAAATGGAAGGGAAATGCTCTTGGTGATGAAGTGCACTAATGTGGATATCATGATTGGATATCACGAATGTGGGTATCATGATTGACTGTGTGCAGTGAATAATGGGTGAACTATTTAATATAGTCAATATACTGTTTTATAGTTTCTGTTTCATCTTTTTAACCTTGCATACTTTCATTAACAGACAGTTGGCTTCACTAATCATATTGGGATGTGGTGCTTCATTTACACTGTGCTAAATTCATGCACTGGGATCTCAATTTGATCAAAATTGCCATTTTTATTACAAAAAAATAGTTTGAACTCACCTTGAAATAATTTCAAACTAATGCCAAATAAAAGTTTATGTATCAAATTTAATACTGGCGTGATTCTTGTGCTCAGTGGTAATACAAATTCAAACACTTGCACAAGTAAATCACACTTCGGTTTCAAACTGTTCGATATCAGCCTAACATCCTGACACAGAAAGCAGAGGCACATCGGTAGCGGGGCAGCATTGCTGTTGACGTGTCAAAGTGAAGCGCACATATTTCTCGATTTCCGTTGCTGCTGCTGTGCACAAGCCACAACACAGTGCTGATGTTATCAAGACTTGCAATCACTTTGCACAATTTATTTCACAACTACATGTGGTAGGACAGTGGGGCACATTGCTTTGTGGTTGCATCTAAAAAGAGTCCTGTAGGTTCTATATTTACACTTGAGTTGCAAATGTTTATGTATTGTATTCACAAAATAAGAATTATTTAAGTAATTAATTATTACTTTCATTTATTTTATTTTCGGCTTGGTCCCTTTATTAATCTGGGGTCGCCACGGTGGAATAAACCGTTAACTTATCCAGCATATGTTTTATGCAGTAGATGCCCTTCCAGCTGCTACCCATCATTGGGAAACATCCATACACACTCATTCACACGCATACACTATGAACAATTTAGCTTACCCAATTCACCTATACCACATGTCTTTGGAGTTGTGGGGGAAACCGTAGGAAACCCACACGAACACGAGGAGAACATGCAAACTCCACACAGAAATGCCAACCGACCCAGTCGGGGCTCGAACCAGCAACCTTGTTGCTACCCACTGCACCACCGTGCTCCCAATACAAGAATTAGACTGAGGATATTTAAACTCGCAATTGCTAATTTAATTCTCTCATACATTGGATGTGTCGTGTTTAATTAAGTTTTTAAATCAGTTTCTTCTATACATTTCTTAAATGAATATCTGCAAATTTGTACAAACTGCACCACAAAATAGATTGCATGCAAAAGCCTGTAACTTGCTTAATATTTTTAATTCATATATCATTGGTGTTAATAAACAAATTGGTTCGATGAAAGTGACAAGTCCTTGTGTCAACATAAAGAACAAATAGTGAAGTCATGTTAGTTTAATCATGTTACAGTGTAGGACCACTGTCAACTTTTCCTGATGTAAACTGGCTAGGGTTTTGATGACAGTTTGCCTGGTGTAATAAGCAAGCCGTTATTAAATCATTTGGCAACAAAAATGTATTGGGAAAAAGGAGTTAAACATCTCTAATTAAAAAGAAAGTAGGACTACAAAATGTAGAGACTGCAATGACTTAATAAAAGAAGAAAAAAAATAACACAATTAAGATATACATATGTGTACATGAAATCAAGAAGCATCCTTCTGGATTATGTATGAATTGATTATGTGGTGAAAATAAAATGGTGGAACATATGCTCACCAGCCACTTTATAGGGTACACCTTACCAGTACCTGCTTGGACCTCCCTTTTTCCTTCAGAACTGACTTAATCCTTTGTTGCATAGATTCAACAGGGTACTTGAAATATTCCTCAGAGATTTTGGTCTGTACTTACATGATAGCATCACGCAGTTGCTGCAGATTTGTCAGCTGCACGTCCATGATGCCAATCTCCTATTCCACCACATCCCAAAGATGCTATATTGGATTAAGGTCTGGTGACTCTGGAGACCATTTGAGTTCAGTGAACTCATTGTCATGTTCATGAAACCAGTCTGAGATAATTTGCGCTTTATGCTGTGGTGTGTTATCCTGCTGGAAGTAGCCATCAGAAGATGTGTACACTGTGGTCCTAAAGGGATGGACAGGGTCAGCAACAATACTCAGGTAGGCTGTGGCATTGACACAATGCTCAGTTGGTACTAATGGGCCCAAAGTGTGCCAAGAAAATATCCCCCACGCCATTACACCACCACCACCACCAGCCTGAACCGTTGATACAAGGCAGGAAGGATCCATAATGCCAAATTTTTACCCTACCATTCGAATGTTGCAGCAGAAATCAAAACTCCACAGTCCAGGCAAAGTTTTTCTCTATTGTCCAATTTTGGTGAGCCTGTGTAAATCGTAACATCAGTTCCCTGTTCTGACAAGTGGCACCTGTTGTGGTCTTCTGTTGCTGTAGCCCATCCGCCTCAAAGTTGTATATATTGTCTCTTTTTTGGACAGTTCTCTGTAGACCCTACAGATGGTTGTGAGTGAAAATCCCAGTAGATCAGCAGTTTCTGAAATACTCAGACCAATTTCTGGCACCAACAATCATGCCATTTTCAAAGTCACTTAAATCACCTTTCTTCCCTATTCCCATGTTCGGTTTAAATTGCAGCAAATCGTCTTGACCATGTCTACATGCTTAAATGCAGAGTTGCTGCCATGTGTTTGACTGATTAGAAATTTGCGTTAAGGAGCAGTTGGACTGGTGTACCTAATAAAGTGGCCGGTGAGTGTATTACAGTGTAGATCATAATGGAGAGAAACACAACAAGGATACAACAATAAGGTGCAAAAATATGACATTATAACTAATAGGCAATAGAAAATTCATAATGGACACACGGTAAATTTAAGACAATATAGTCTAATTTCCCTTCTCTCCTTCGCATTGCCACTCCACACCCCAGTTCAGTTGGTGGCGGTAAGGCACCAAAAGTTGGATTTGACACCATCAAGAAGAAGAAGAAGCGGAAGTGATTTTTTTTTTTGCTGTTTTAGAGAAGATGGCGGCGGCGTTGAACAGAAATTAGAATAATTAAAACATTTTTGTTTTCTCGTGCTAGAAATAACTGCTTTTATTCACACTCTGTAGCAACATGACCAATCGAACTGCGTACTTCTACGACCCAGACGTGGGGAACTTTCACTATGGTAAGATTTTAACGTTTCGTATAGCATAGGTTGCTAATGGATGATAACGTTTAAATTACTGTTTACTCCTGTATGCGGCGATGCCCAGATAAAAAAATGATTTAAAAATGTTGTAAGAACTACAGTATTTTAGAAACATACTATAGTAAAGTTACTGTAAATATCGGCCTATATTTACAACACTTGTTAATGAATTCTACTGCGGGCTGTAATACTGTACTATATTTTAGGTGTTTACAACAATAAACTATGCTCTATTATAGTATAGTTTACGCTGTAACTTAGTTGTGGAGAATAGTGTAAGTGGTTCTACTATGTGTCTATACTTGTATTACAAAAGCTACTGTAGAATTACCCCGATAGATTAATTCAAGTGTTAAAGTTTTACTTTAATTATTGAATAAAATGCATTATTATTATTATTATTATTATTAATAATAATAATAATAATAATAATATTGTTGTTAAATTAACTATAATTAGTTTGCCCAGCTATAGCTGTTTACATCAACATTGCCTAACCGATACATTCAGACTTCAGCACTACAAACAAAAATAGAGTACTCAAGAATAGAAGATTGCAAGATGAACATTTTGATCTATATTTACAATTTTACATGAATCAGCGTACTTGACTGTTGAATAAAACTAATACATAACAAATGGGATTCAAATAACAAGCAAGTTAAATATACTGATAAAATATAAAAGATAATTAATAAATAGATTAATAAGAAACAAGTTAAATTAATGGATAAAAAAAAGGAAAATGGAAAAAAAAACAAGAACTGAAACCATCTCAAATGTTCTCTAATAATTTTTAGATTAACTGTATCTCCAGCAGAAAAGATGCGATTTTTAAATTGTAAAAAAAACAAATGAAGACAGCAGAAGTCAATAATTCATTTAGCGTCACGTTTACTGTTCCAAAATACTTTAAATGTTTCTCATCTCAGGCCATTGCCTATGCACAAATGCTTGCCATTTGAGACATTTTTACTGACACTGCTCCCGCAAGATTCTGTCCTGCTTCCACTTAAAAATGTTTTTAATCTTTCATTTATGTCTGTAATTAAAGTTTTTCCCAGCTCCTGTTCGCTAAGCCTGCAGGTAAACTTACAAGTAGCATATAGCCCATTGATTGCTTCATCAAACACGCATAATAATGTTTTATAATAATGCATTTTTATTTAGAAATTAGAAAATTAGATAAAATAGAAAATTATATTATGTAATATTTTTAGGGATGCACCGAAACTGGTATCAGTATTGGGCCCAATACTGATCTTATGTACTTGAACTTGTGAAAACACACCGATACCCAGTGACGTCACTGACAGAACTTCTTCAGTACACACTAAGGCTTGTGCAGAAACATAATGAGCTGCTTAAAGCATTTCACACGGCATGATTCTAAATAGCAGACAGCTTCAGATATTTAGCGGGCGAGATATCTCATGGGGCGAAGCAGTGGCGCAATAGGTAGTGCTGTTGAAAAAAAGTTGTTTTTAACCAGGTTAACAAGTTCTTAAACTTCAGGGGGTGTTTAGACAATTTTCAATCGGGGTTCAGAGCACATCACAGTACAGAGAGCGCTCTTATAAAGATAATCAATGATATACGTCTAAACACAGATTCAGGTAAAATAACAGTGCTGGTATTGTTGGATCTCAGTGCTGCATTTGACACTGTCGATCACAGCATACTTCTGGATAGGCTGGAAAACTGGGTTGGGCTGTCTGGCACGGTCCTCAAATGGTTTAGATCTTACCTAGAAGGTAGAGGTTACCATGTCAGTATAGGTGACCATAGGTCGAGGTGGACACCCATGACGTGTGGAGTCCCACAAGGCTCGATTCTGGCACCTCTCCTGTTCAACCTTTACATGCTCCCTCTAAGCCAAATAATGAGAAAGAACCAAATCTCCTACCACAGCTATGCTGATGACACTCAGATCTACCTAGCCTTCAGCCTAATGACTACAGCCCCATTGACACCCTCTGCCAATGCATTGATGAAATGAGCAATTGGATGTGCCAAAACTTTCTTCAGTTAAACAAAGAGAAAATTGAAATGATTGTGTTTGGGAACAGAGATGAGGTTCTCAAGGTAAATGCGTACCTTGGCACTAAAGGTCAAACGACAAAAAATAAGGTCAAGAATCTTGGTGTGACTCTGGAGTCAGATCTGAGTTTCAACAGTCATGTCAAAGCAGTCAGTAAATCAGCATACTATCATCTCAAAAACATAGCAAGAATCAGATGCTTTGTTTCTAGTGAAGATTTAGAAAAACTTGTTCATGCTTTTATCAGCAGCAGGGTGGATTACTGTAATGGACTCCTCACTGGTCTTCCTAAAAAGACAGTCAGACAGTTGCAGCTCATCCAGAACGCTGCAGCCAGAATTCTAACCAGAACCAGAAAATCAGAGCACATCACACCTGTCCTCAGGTCTTTACACTGGCTGCCAGTTACATTCAGAATAGATTTTAAAGTATTATTACTGGTCTATAAATCACTAAATGGCCTAGGACCTCAATACATTACAGATATGCTCACTGAACACAAACCTAACAGATCACTCAGATCTTTAGGATCATATAAACTAGAAGTTCCAAGAGTTCAGTCAAAGCAGGGTGAATCGGCTTTTAGCCACTATGCCCTTCGCTGCTGGAATCAGCTTCCAGAAATGATCAGATGTGCTCCAACATTAGGCACATTCAAATCAAGACTGAAAACACATCTGTTTAGCTGTGCCTTTACTGAATGAGCACTGTGCTGCGTCCGACAGATTGCACTATCATGTTTTTCTCTTCTTCTTCATTCTTTCATATCACACTTTACCTGTTTTTATGTTTTGTTTTGTTTTTATGCATTTTTATTATTTGTTTTTATTTTTATTTTACTAGTTTCTTTTATTCTTGTTTATGTAAAGCACTTTGAATTGCCATTGTGTATGAAATGTGCTATATAAATAAACTTGCCTTGCCTTGCCTTGCCTTGTTGCCTCACAGCAAGAAGGTCGCTGGTTCGAGCCTCGGCTCAGTTGGTGTTTCTGTGTGGAGTTTGCATGTTCTCCCTGCCTTCACGTAGGTTTCCTTCGGGTGCTCCGGTTTCCTCCACAGTCCAAAGACATGCGGTACAGGTGAATTGGGTAGGCTAAATTGTCCAGTGTATGAGTGTGTGTGTGAATGTTTGTGTGGATGTTTCCCAGAGATAGGTTGCGGCTGGAAGGGCATCCGCTGCGTAAAAACTTGCTGGATAAGTTGGCGGTTCATTCTGCTGAGGCGACCCCGAAATAATAAAGGGACTAAGCCCACAAGAAAATTAATGAATTAATGAATGAATGAATATCTCATGGGTGTCGGCGAATCATCTGTGATTGTCTCAGATCATGTCTTTGATAGTTCACACTGTGTGATTGTTACTCGCGTGATCCAGTACTGATCTGCTATTGATTTAAGCCATTTGTCGGCAATTGCTCCATAGATGTTGGTGAGTCAAAATCAGGGCTAAAAATCATGCAGTCTGAACTCGGCATTAGAATATACTAAATCGGGGTGTCAAACTGAATTTCTGGAGGGCCGCAGCTTTCCACAGTTTTGTTCCAACCCATCTTCAGCACACCTATCTGTAAATTTCAAACAAGCACTCGATTAGTTTTATTAGGTGTGCTTATTTTAGGTTGGAACTACTCTGTGCAGAGCTGCAGCCCTCCAGGAATTTAGTAGAATTTAGTACCATTGTTCTAAATGTTTTTTCCACTTGTTTAGTAAGGGTGTCACGATCCTCCAAATCCTCGATTCGATTACATTTTCGATTATGAATAATTAATTAATTAATAACGAATTAATTATTTGTAGCCTACCGTTTAAACTACCTGACCTGCATGGTCTTTGTTTTACCCATAAACAAATCATACAGTAAATGAATAAAGGCAAGTTACGCACATAATTACCACCTGTCAATCACTTTTTTCTGCGGGACTCGTGAATAGGCAGTGATCTGTGTCCTTATAATGGCGTCGGTAAAAAAGGTGCACAACCAACAGGAACCAGCCAACAGTATCTGAGGTGTTCGCCTAAATGACTAAGTACTTGTGTGAAAGTAAAAGATGGAAGCAGTCTACTGACCCGCTGACTGCCTTGACCCGCTGTCTCGAGCGCATGACAAAGTGTGTGCGTCTGTGTCTGTGTGTGAATGAGTGTGTGTGATCACGTGATGTGCGTTTTCAGCGGTAGTGAGGAAGGAGGGCTGCTCAGAAATGCTACACGCCAGTGTGGATGTGGATCGTTGTCGTTCTAAAATGCCATTTAAATACAAAGACATATTAGTGTAAACAGGGCCTGAGTGTGTATTTTTCGTGAGCGGATTTGCAACGGGTGCGGGGCGGAGGATCGCGATGCGCCCATCATCTATCATCCCGACCGTAATATGTACATAGCAGAGCTTGCAAACTGTGTTTTTTTTTGTCGACAACACAAACGTTGTCAACATAACTCACTGGAAATCCAAAATACTTCCACACCGGTAGCTTCATTGAAAGAGGAAAGGAAGAGGAAAGGAAAGCTCTGTCGATGGGTCTCCTGCTTCTGCAGTTTAACAAGCACTTCAACAAGCATGTTTTTTTCCCGCTTGGCAAGCCAAGCTAACGTGACATGGGGGCGTGGCAGCATCGACGATTCTATTTTTTGATTCGATAATCGAAGTTGAGCATAAATTTCAATCGATTTAGATTAAAAATCGAAATCGTGACACCCTTATTGTTTAGGGCTTTTATTCATTAAGGAGTGCTGTGCAATATATCGGTTTAATTTAAACCCCATCAGCTTGATTTTTCCAATTAAATAAATGTAATGTTGTAGAAATCAAGAATTATAATGACCCTTAGGGTGCTTTTACACCTGTGGATCGATTCAGTTGTTCCGAAACAGGGATTAAAATTGTTACATTGTTGCTCTTTGTTCTTGGTGCGGTTCGCTTTCACACGGCAAAGTTTCC